GACCCATGCAGCACGCAGAGTGAGTCAGAGCAATGGCCCAGCAGAAGTCCTACATTGACCAGGTCATCTGCCAGCAGGCAGCAAGTGAATTAACCAGCACTCCCACACTGTGGAAGACCATGAGGCCCTTAGACCTGGAGGAACTCCAGGACCTGCGGCAGGAGAGGAGGAGCAAGGTGACTGTGGGTACGGGTGCGGTAGCCCCACTTTGCTATGTAAAAACATGCAATGAAAACACAACCCCCACATGTGGCTGGGGAGGAATACAGAAAGACAGAAGCCAGGTCCTCATATAGTTCAAAGTGTGGTGTGGGGGAGAATGGGGGCAATTTTTTTCCTTAAATTACCATTTATAGTCTTATTGCTTTTGGTGAACACATGAGCAACTGAACGTAGGGTGGCAAACAAGGTAAAGCGGATTCCAAAGTTTCTAGGACTGTTGCCTAACACAGAAAAGACAGCAGAAGGTGAGGTGTGGGGGCAGCAAGAGGGATGAATCCACAGGACCCATGCAGAGCAGAGTGAAGTCAGTGCAAGGGCCCAGCAGAAGTCCTACATTGACCAGGTCATCTGCCAGCAGGACAGCAAGTGAATTAACCAGCACTCCACACTGTGGAAGACCATGAGGCCCTTAGACCTGGAGGAACCTCCAGGACCTGCGGGCAGAGAGGAGCAAGGTGACTGTGGGTACGGGTGCGGTAGCCCCACTTTGCTATTGTAAAAACATGCCAATGAAACACAACCCCCACATGTGGCTGGGAGGAAATACAGAAAGACAGAAGCCAGGCTGCTCATATAGCTTCAAAGTGTGTGTGTGGGGAGAATGGGGGCAATTTTTTCCTTATATACCATTATAGTCTTATTGCTTTTGGTGAACACAACTTTAAAATAAGTTTAACTGAAAAATAAAAAATTTAAAATAAACCCATGAACCCTGAGGTAGGATTTTTCTGCTTTATAAAATGGCAACTCCCAAAAGAGGCAGTGACAGAGAGCAGTGCGGGCCTGGCTTCCCTCTGGCGGGTCCTGCCCCTGGGGAAGCTCTGCTGCTGACAGCTGTCTCTGGTGAAGACAGGGGTTGCATGACTCCCACGTCCGCGTGGCACACTGCACATCTAGCCTCACTTCCTCAAATGTCACCAGGCTGGACTCACGAGGACATGGGGACATACGCACTCCTTCCCAGAAACTCCCTGAGCGTCTGTCCCAGACCACGTGGGGAGACAGTTCCTCTGACCAGGGCTGCTGTTCGTACCCCACCTTCTTAATCCATCTCTTCCCCAGGAAGCAGATACATCTTCAAAACTTTAATAAGAAGTTTCTCTCAAAATAAAAAATGGCAAAGGAGGTGATCCACATCCCCATTAGCTCCGGCTGAGCCAGGCCACACAGTCTCTGAGGCAAGTCACCATCATCACCATCTGACGGCTCCTATTAGATTGCCGGCTCACATGATAGAGCTGGATTTTTTGATACCAGCCTGGGCAACATGGCAAAACCTCATCTCTACAAAAAATGTAAGAATTACCCAGGCAAGGTGACATGCACCTGTGATCCCAGCCACTTGGGAGGCTGAGGAGGGAGAATCACTTGAGCTCAGCAGGTCAAGGCTGCAGTAAGCCAAGATTGTACCACTGCATTCCAGCCTGAGTGACAGAGAGACCCTGTTTCAAAAAAAAAAAAAAAAGAATTGGCTTTGAACCCAGCAGCCCGGCTGCACAGCCCTGCCTCCTGGCTGGCTGGACAGGAAGTCAGGGAGGTAATAAGCCTGGCCCCTGAGAGGCCTGGAAGGTCCACCTGCCCTGTTATGGGCTGAGTTGTGCTCCCCAAGAAAGACTATGTTCAAGGCCTCACCCCCAGTACCTAAGAGTGTGACCTTACTTGGAAACAGGGTCTTTATGGAGGTAATCAAGCTCAAATGAGGTCACTGGGTGGATACTAACCCAAATGACTGGTGTCCTTATAAAATGGGGACATTTAGACACAGAGACAGAGGGAAGACCATGAAAAGACAACCAAGAAGATGGAGAAGATGGAAGCAGAGATTTGAGGGAAGCTTCTCCAAGCTGGGAATGCTGCCAGACAGACAGGCAAGAAGGGTCCACCTCAGCATCTCAGGAGGAGCTGGGCCCGCCCACACCTCAACCTCGGACTCTCAGCCTCCATGACCATGAGAGGATACATTTGTTTTAAGCCACCCAGTTTGCAGGTTTGTTAGAGTGGTCCCAAAAGATAAATGCAGTCAGCCGGGTGTGGTGACTCACACCTATAACCCTAGCACTTTGTGAGGCCGAGGTGGATGGATCACCTGAGGTCAGGAGTTCGAGACCAGCCTGGCCAACATGGCAAAACCCCGTCTCTACTAAAAATATAAAAATTAGCCGGGCGTGGTGGTGTGCACCTGTAATCCCAGCTACTTGGGAGCCTGAAGCAGGAGAATGGCTTGAACCTCGGAGGTGGAGGTTGCAGTGAGCTGAGACCATGCCACTTCACTCCAGCCTAGGTGGCAGAGCGAGACTCTGTCGCACATGCCTGTAATCCCAGCTACTTGGGAGCCTGAAGCAGGAGAATGGCTTGAACCTCGGAGGTGGAGGTTGCAGTGAGCTGAGACCATGCCACTTCACTCCAGCCTAGGTGACAAGAGTGAACCTTGAAAGAGAAGAGAGAAAGAGAAGAGAGAGGAAGGAAGGAGGGAGAGAGGGAGGGAGGGAGAGAGAGAGGGAAAGAAAGGCAGGCTCTTCTGCAACAGGAAACAATTGGAGAAACTGGTTATTTTACCAAGGCTTTGACTGGAATGGCCTGCTTTCCTTTAAGGATTCAAAGGACTTACAGAGACAATAAAAGCCCCGTGGGTAAAACTGGCCTCATACCTTGTCTATACAGTCCCCATACAGGGTTCCTGACCTGTGGTAAAGAATGTCACTTTCTAATAGGCCCAGGAGCCCCAAGTTATTTTAGGACCTCAAGAAGAGAGGAATTTACCAAACTCATAGGTATTTGAGGATACGAACCCATGACTGGACTCAGTTTTTAAAAAGTCTTATCAGAGATTCCTTATGGAACAGAGTTCTACCAAAGCCAATTTAAGAAGCCTATGTAAAAAATTATTACTTGTGTTGCAATTTATGTAAATAATCAGGCCAAGTATAATAAGACTAATGTTTATTTTGCAAACAAATCAGTCTTATAATTTGTTTTTTAATAAAAATGGGGACTGGAGAGAGAAAACTTGTGCTTCGAAAAAATATATATATAGTATACCTGTTGTTAGATGTTCTTGCATTTTTCCTGCAGTTTGGAAGGACTAAATCTTAAATTCTTTGTGGGCTACAAGTCACCAAACTAATGCATTCAAATCTTTACTTTTTAAACTGGGAATTGCACTCTTTACCCTATTCCTCATTATTAACCTTATAGTTCACTGTTCCCTTAAATGCAGTGCTAAAACTATAGATGACAATAGTAATGCCTTTGCCATGCAAGCCTTGGATCTCTAGCCATGCCTGTGTGAGTATGCTCAGAGCTGCAAAGTGGTTCCATTC